GTCTCTGCTTGACTTCACAGCCTCTCTGTTCTTGGGGAGTTTTTTAGGTGATATATAAACAAATGTATTTTCTTGTATGGAACACATCTTGAAAAGATTCACGTCTTCGCAACATAGCCTGACAGTTGGACAGGATTTTTCTTGACTTAACTACATAAAATACAACCACTTGGAGCAGTAGAAGTTTGAGTATGTTAATGCTGGAAAACATTGACAGATGCGAGAGAGCGTTGTCCTGGAGAGAATCTTTGTATGACCATGTAGGTCTCTGTGCTTTAGCGAAATAGGCATCAACAAATCCTTGGCCTCTCCATAATTGCCTCTCTTCACTTGCCATTTAGAGCACAATAGGCTCTTAAGCGTGTGCAGTAGAGGATCAAACATGGAGAAGTGCCCATGTACTGGAGGGAAGGCAGTGTCCTGCCAAGAGCGTGGGGGACCCCAGCTGTCCTTGCCACTGCATGCTGCCCACTCTTTGTGCAGGGGCAGCCTGTGCCCCAGGCAGCACTTCTGGGGGTCCCGTTCTGGGCAGCGTCTATTTAGCTGTTGGGGGAAATGTCTGCTGGAGGGCTGCTCATGTCTCTGGAACCAGGCTTGGGCTCAGCCCTTCCCAAACTGAACAGCTCCTCTTGCCCTTCCCAAACTGAACAGCTCCTCTCTACCCTTAGGTTGCATTTTCAATGTGCTTGGCTGGGGAAACAAAAGCCTAGAGCTGAGCTGCTCAGGCGGAGGTGAAGGCTTCCTTGGGGTGGTGAAGGATTGTCCACGGAGTGTGTGTTAGCTGTAGGCACTTCTGAAAGCCCTGGGTTAATCTCTAGGAATAGACTTTACTTGTGAAGCAGACCACTTGGGAGATAATGTCAAGAGACATAATAAACTTTTCCATTGTGTTTCCAACTGCAGTACCCTCACTTCTTGAAGAGAGAAGGGAATAAGCTTCAGATCATGCTGCAGCGGCGGAAGCGGTACAAGAACCGAACCATTTTAGGCTACAAGACTCTGGCTGTGGGATCTATCAACATGGCTGAGGTGAGCAGCATTTCACATGATCTCTGTTTACAAAAGTGGATATTTTCCCGTCTTTTTAAACCTAGTGTTGTCACTCCCCTCACTGAGAAGTACCTGCAGGGATTTCATATAGCTGTCTTAATAACTGCAATCAGTATTCACAGGGCAATATTTTAAACAGGTTTTACTGCTGAGTAATAATATTGGACATTTTCTGCATAGTATCTTGTAAACTAAAGCTTTCATGAGGTTAGCTTATTGCCTTGTGAGGGTTTTGTTGAGTAGTTTTTTTAGAGTTAGGGGATCCATATCATAAGTGCAGAACAAGACAGATACGGTCACTCAGGCAAGCCTTCCCACCCTAAAAAATGTTAAAGGAAGGTTGGCTGTACTTCTCTGTGTGTCCTGGTTTAGCCCAGCTGGCAGCTAAGCTACCATGAGGTCACTCAGTCACTCCTCCCCCTCGGTGAGGTGGAGAGGAGAAAAATCTAACAAAAGGCCTGAGGGTCGAGATAAGAACAGGGAGGGATCACCCACCAACCATGGCCCTGGGCAAAACAGACTCAGTTTGGAGACAAATCAATTTAATTTGTTAACGGTTCATTCAGAGAGGATAACAAGAAACAAAGCCAGATCTTAAAAAAACACCTTCCCCCTACTCCTCCCTTCTTCCCAGCTCTACCTCCTGCCCCAGCAGTGTAGGGGGACAGGGAAGGGGGAGGCTGCAGTTCAGTTCATCACACGTTGTTTCTACTGCTCCTTTTTTAAAGGAGGACTCCTTACACTCTTTTGTCCTGCTCCAATGGATCCCCTCCTCACAGGACAGTCCACAGACTTCTCCAGCGTGAGTCCTTCCTGCAGGATGCAATCCTTACCCATCAGATGGCTCCAGTGTGGGCTTCTTCCCCACAGAGTCATGGCTTCTTAGAGAGCTGCCACCTGCTCCAGTGTGGAGTTCTTTAAGGGCTTTAGATGCCTCTCCAGCCTCATTGTCAGCCTCCAGCAGCTCATGGAGACTATTCTCTACAACTTCCTTCAGGCACAGGCCTGCTCCAGCATGGAGGCCTCCCCATGCTGCAGGTGGGTCTCTACTCCACCATTAATCTCCACTGGTGGCAGGGGGGCCGCTGCTGTCTCACCACGGGCTTGTAGGGGAATCTCAGCTCTGGCACAGCCTCCTCCTTCTCCATCTTTGCTGTCCTTGGTGTCTGTTTCTCTTGGGTCTCGGTCCTCTCTATGCTGCAGCCGTGCTGGGCCCAACGAACCTCAGCAGTCCTGGCAGGATGAACTCTGCCCAGGGGGTGCCCCGGGAGTGGTGCGCTTTGGAACTCACCAAGCCGTGCTGCCGCGGCCATCTCAAGTCGGATAGCGGTGGTCCAGCGCAGGCAGCTGCCTGCCCGGGAGGCCAGTCCCCCACCTCCCCCGTCTCTTCAGTGTAGGTCCAGTCTTGGTTTGGGCTTCTTTATCCCCATCTTAAATAGGGCATTTGCAGAGGTGCTGAGTGGCTTGGCCCGGGCCTGAGGGGATGGGGGTTCTAACCTGGTCAGAGGCTGGTCCGAGTTCTGGAGCTTCACAGCTACTTACAGGGGCTGTTTTTGCAGCCCCTCCCATGCTACCAAAACCCCATCACGTAAACCCAGCACACTGTGCCACTGTATGAGAGTTCAGGCTCCATCGAGTAGTTTCTCTCATTTTGCTTGAAATGCCCTTCACAATTCTTGTTTCATGGCTGTTGGTAATTTAGGTGGAGTTCTATTCATGAGAGGTAAATGATAAAATTTTCAGATTTACATCTGAAAATTAATTCTGGAATCAAGTATGGATAAATTATTCATTAAGGCTTTCTGAATGGCTTAGCTCCATGCTTCATTATTTCATGCCCTGTTTAATCTCTGCTGTTTCTGATTCTGAGTATTTAGAGATGAGCTTAGCAGTAGCAAGTTCAGCTTAACACCAGTATTTTTCATCAGACTGCATTCTGTCAACAAATCATTTCCATCCAAAATAAGCAGTGTTAATGTGGTTACGGCAAGTTATCACTGTAGTAAATAGCTCATTATAAAGTCCACTCCTTCTGTGTGAGCTCAGCTTCCCTTAGACTTGCAGTAAATAGTGAACTCCCCACTTGAATTGGCCAAATTCAGATTTGTGATGTAGTAGCTAAAGTTTTTCCTGTACCATGTTTGATTTGCTTAAGAACTGGAAATTAAATATTGCTGTAAGGTGGAAAACGTATGGGCTCGTGGTGGAGGCAGAGCCTGAAGAAAAGGAGGCTGAGGGGACTGAGGGGACACCTTATAGCTCCCTACACCTACCTGAAAGGAGGTTGTGGTGAGGTGTCAGTCTCTTTTCCCAAGTAACAAGCGATAGAACAAGAGGAAATGGTTTCAAGTTGCGCCAGGGGAGGTTTAGATTGGATATTAGGGAAAATTTCCTCACCAAAAGGGTTGTCAAGCATTGGAACAGGTTTCCCAGGAAAGCAGTTGAGTCACCATCCATGGAGGTATTGAAAGGACTTGTAGATGGGGTGCTTAGGGACATGGTTTAGTGGTGGACTTAGCAGTGTTAGGTTAATGGTTGGACTTGATGATCTTTGAGATCTCTTCCAACCAAAATGATTCTATGATTCTATGAAATTTTACAAGCCCGCCCCTCTCCCCTTTGCAGTTTACAGTCTAATGACCCTTAAACAGCACTGACATATTTCTTAAAATTAAAATAAAAATATGTGCTCTTAACTGTTGAAACAAAGCAATGAATTGGAGTTGTGAGTCTGAGCAGAGTTTAAGGGGAGCGGGCGTGTGTTCCTCATCAGCTCAGGTCTTTATAAAGCCACGGGAGGAGCTGACAAAGCAGCCGGGTGTGCATTAGAAAGCTGAGGTGCAAGCATTGGGAAGCACTTTCTGGCTTTGGTGGGGCAAGAGAAGAATGCAAGTCTTAGGTTCTGGGGAAGGTCTTGTGAGTGGTGAGTGGCAAAGAAAGGAGAAACCCACACCCAGATGTCCCTCTGCCTCCACTATTGTCTTGCCTCTTCATGACCTACTGCTTTGTTATCCTGGGATGGCCAGCTCCTCTGAGATTCAGGTGCCAGCTCTCTGGAGCAGGGATTTTTGCTTTAGGAAGCACTTTGCATCTGTATCTCACCAAGAATTTTTGCCTTTACTGGCTCTTCTGCTGAGCTTTAACAAAGTTAAGTTCCTTGATTAGGTGTTCAGAAGGTTGGTAACTTGATAATTCAAATCAGTATTGTGCTGTGGAAGCAAATACATAGTAATGAGGTAGTCAAGTATTGTGCTTCAAGGATGAGCTAATCAGTTGTCAAGTTCCGAATGCTTTTACTTCCCTTCCATCACTTCCACTAGCAGTCAAATAAAATCTCAACTAGCATTGGGTATTACCTGCAAGTGGCTCCTGCAGTTGCAGGGTGTTGGCTCACTTCCGTACTTGGAAATGTGAAGTACCTCTAACATAAATAACTCTTGTAGTATGCAAATGATGCAAGTTTAAATACATTTAAATGCAGTTTTATACTGCTTAATTTCTGTCCCAGGTCATGCAGCACCCAACAGAAGGTGGCCAGGTTCTGAGCCTTTTCAGCAACATCAAAGAGGCTGCAGTGAAGGTAGCAGAAATCTGGATCTTCTCCTTGTCGAGTCAACCAATTGACCATGAAGACAGCACTATGCAGGCCAGCCAGAAAATCAAGTCTACAGGTAAGAAGAGTACAACCATGTGCTCTGAGGACCAGTGTCTTCTTGAACTAGCTAGAGTTCAGCCTTACCTGGGCTTAGATGCTTCCTGGGATAAATGAAAACTGATTTGCACAAGTTGCTGTGTCTATGACTGATTAATGCAAAGAAAACCCACTTTGTAAGCATGTTGCTGTATAAGCAGGGAGTGTGGCAGGAGTATAGGGGATTGAGTTGTCAGAAGCTTCTCCTACATATCACACCAGACCTGAGCTATCCAGCAAGGATTAGCTGTGTTCTCACCAATGCTCTCCCAGCATTACTGGTGGGTATGTTGAGAACCTGTACCTTCTCACCTGGCTAACAGTGTTGTGTTCAGGAGAGTCACAGTTAAGCTACTTTTCCAACTTCTTTTTCTTTTAAGTATTCTGCAGTAAATCTCATTGACTTAGGTGAGACCTGCAAAGCTGCCACATGTTTTGCTGTGGACTATGGCCTGGTTTAATGAGTGTAAATCCGTGGTGTTGTGCACCACATAGGGAAGTCATTGGGTTTCTGCTCATGATAATATTTTTTATTTGGTACCAGCCTTCTGCTCACTGCTAGGAGAGTGGCTTGTTGAAGGCAGTGCACACAGGTGCTTGTGTGTTGTTGCATGAGGCCAGGCAGCTCACTTGAAGTGTCATTTCAATAAAGGAGTTAGACTCGCCTGGCATATCTTACTTACTCCTTTGAGCCAGTTATGCCCATGTTAGGGGGGGAAAAGTAATTTCCCTTGTGGAGAAACCTGTTTACTTGCCGCAGTCTACCAGATGGTTCTTTGCAGGGTAAGAGGAGATGGTGTTTCAAGGAGCTTTATCTGTGTGCTGATCTGTCCTTCCTATTAAATGTGTTTCTCTTTGTTCCTTACCTCCAGGCAGTTCTCATCTCACTGGTTCTAGCACTGATAGAAGATAAACTAGCAGGCGTCTCCTTGTGCACCTCCTTTCTTGATTTGTTGGTTGGCCTTCTCTGCTCTTGAGATGAGACTGTCTCCTCACCTTAAAGGAGTTTCACAGGATCTTTTCCCTCTTTCCTTCCCTTTCAGATAACTATTCCGAGGAAGAGTACGAGAGCTTCTCTTCTGAGCAGGAGGCCAGTGATGATGCCGTACAGGGCCAGGTACTGTTTAGGGCATGGCTTCTCCCTGTGAGAGCTTCAGTAGAGCGTATACACTCTCAGCTTGTGCTTGAAACTAAAAGCCTATTTAGCTAAACCATGACAGTGCGAGACTGTCACCAAGTGTTTAGCTGCAGTGGCAGAAGGCCTGCACAGTAACCTGTTTGTTCCACTGTGCTGTGATTTATCTGTTCATGTGTTTGGGCTTGAGCTCCCCTTAAATGCTAAAACATTGGCATCCTTGTGTGTTTCTCTACTTAATGGTCAAGGCATCAGTTGATTGCTTCTGTAATGCTGATGGGATTCCAAGAGCCCGACTAGATCCCCAGCTGTAATTAAAGCACCAGTAGGATCTGAGTCAATCTTTAGTCTTTAATACCTTCTGAAAAATAGGTCCTTACAGAGAACCCCTTGGCTAGATGTGAGATGCTTTTGAGTTTGGGTCTTATTTGCCTTTATAGTCTGGTATCACCTGCCTTTCACCTCTTGGAGGGTACTGAGAGAGGAACCCACCAAAATGTGAGGCTGTGACTACCTTTGTTCCTTAAATGCAGAACTAGGGCTGGTTTGCTTCTCCAAGCTGTTCCTGACTCCGTGCAGACCTGGCTCACTTCCTTTTTCTCTTTGCCGTCATAAGTACAATTAAGGCAAATGCTGAAAGCCTGGAGGACAGAGCAGCACGTTCATCTTCACAGAGGGAACATTTTTAGCACTTAAATGCTCAGGTGTCCCAGATCACAAAGGTAACACAGGAATCCTCTTTCTCTTCAGGATTTGGATGATGATGAGTACGAGCTGGGGAAGCCCAAGAAGCAGCGGAGATCGATAGTAAGAACGACGTCCATAACCAGGGTCGGTGGAAATCAGTTTTACTAACACTGATGGGGTTTGGCCAGGATGCACAGTGCATGTGGCTTATGGGAGCAGCAGTGCTAAGTGTGCTGGCCCAGCAGGGAGCTTGGGGGCATGGTCACAGCATGTGAAGAGCTACCAGAAGCAGCCAGTTCAGGGAGTGGGGCTGTCTAAGGTGTCTGTATGTGCTGTCTTGAGTGTCCTTTGGCTGCAGGGTTGAAGAGCTCCAAAAATCATGTAAGTGTGTGAAATTCACCTCCGTGAAGAAGCCAGTGCAGCATCTGTGTTCATCTAAGTCCTGAAAGTAGCTTTAAGTGAAGAGAAGCTCTCTGGTTTGTGCTCTGCATGGGATAGGCCAGTGGGGAGGTATCAAAATGAAGTTAAGTAGCTCAGTCAGGGACTGGAGCTTGACATAAACCTGAGGTGGTGCATGTGGTGCTGAGGCAAAAGAATTAGCTGGATATTGAAGGCTTTGGCAAGTCACATACAGATATCCACCCTCTCACAGCAAGCATGCATATGCCTGCAAAGCTGCCCTTCTCTGTGGAGCAGTGGCTTGTGCTTGACCACACCATAATGCAGCTTTCTGCTTACACGAGTGTGTGTGCATGTACCTGATGACAATACCAAAACTACCAGTCTGGGCTAGGTTTTCTTTTTTGGACTCAGGAGTAGGTTTGGAGATGATTGTACCTTCTGTGGGGCTGTTTCTGAAATCCATGTTTTGATAAGGTTGGAAATAAACCCTGAATCTGCCACTAGAAAGATCCTCTGTATGAGACCAGGAGCGTGCTAGTTCGTGTCCTTGATGTCCTTAGTATTGTTTTCAGGTGTCAGTGACCAGCCAGGACAAAATACACCACTTGGTTATTAAATGAGTAACTTCCTCTTAATAAGAAGACTTAATAAGTCTTTCTAGCCCTGACCACTAAACAGATACCGAATCTCCAGTGTGTGGGGCAGGTGCAGAACTGGGTTTGGTGCTGCCAGCTAAGGTAACGTTAGTCCAACTTCAAACCCAACAGGTCTCCTGTCTGCCGACTGTGAAACCATTCAGGCCAGTGAAGAGCTCTTGCCATGTCACCTTAGCTACTGCATGCTGTGTGTCCTCCGTCCCTAGACTGCCGTGCTGATCCAGGGTGGTCTGCATGATGGACAGTTTTGCTTGGCATCCTGAGCCAGAGGACAACGCTCACTATTGTGAGGCCTCACAGGCGCGTTGGGGACAAAAATAGGACAGTCTTTGGAGAGTCTTATCTGAGGCCTGGTGGATTTATTTCACCTGAACTTCAGCTGTCTCGAAGGTGGTTGCGGCTCGCAGGATTTGAGTTCAGAGGTAAAGGGGTAGATTTGGAGGCATGAGGCAGTGTGAAGTGTCTGAGGCCAGAGTGCAACCAGGTAGTTGGGCTTGCAAGAAGAGCTCATGTGAGATACAGGAGAGCCAGCAAATGAGCAACTTTGTTTGCCTAAGAGTGGTCTGGTGCCAGACGTTTTCTCCTTCCTTTCCTCCTGACACAGGGATGCCACCTCAAATGCTGTGCACCAGCACTCACGCCTGGGCCCTTCTCATCTTCTTTTTCTTCAGAATGTGCATATTAGGTTGTCAGTGACAGACAGAAGGGCTGGGCAGCTTGTGGCAAGTCTCAGCTGTTTGGTTCCACAAGAGAGAGAGCTCTTGGAGGCAAGTAAACACAAAGCAAGCGCAGCAGTTTGGCTTGTGTTGTTTTGGACTTGGTGCCTGCTGTGCCCAGGATCTGGGGGTATCGGACTCGGAAAGCATTTTTCTGATAGGCAAGTGCTAAGGACAAGCCCCACAATTTTTCTACAGTGCTACTAGTCAAATCAATGAGCCTGCCAGCATGACCTGCAAGCTCCTGAAAAAAAAAAGTGCTTTATTGGTTGAAAATACATTTGTAGTTTGGGTCAGTGGGTAGATGCTTGCTTTGACCGTTGTTAAGAATCAGAAAAGTTGACTGTCAAATGTTTGCCAGAAATATATCAAACAGCTACAGGAGGTGGTGTGGCTAATAAAATAATTTGTTATCCTCAGTGTGTCCAACCAAGAGTGGTGTGCCATCTGTCAGGGCCAGAAGATTTATAATGCTTGGTGGAGTGGGACCTAGTTTGTTGTAATGCAGGAAAGAAAGTATCATAAGTGTGGAAAATCTGATTTCCACATAAGAACAGCAGAGACTTGATTTGTAGTGCCAGGAGTTGTTTGATTTGAAGCAGCAGATAGAGCGCCAGTGTCAGGTGTGTCTGGACTTCTTGCAGACTGGGAGAAAACAGTTCACTTAACACTTTACTTAGTAAAAGTGTCTTTGACTTGCAGCAACAAAACTTCAAACAGAAGGTTGTGGCATTGCTGAAGAGGTTTAAAGTGTCTGATGAGGTAAGTAATTCATTCTGTAAACCTTCCTGTCTTCTGTGTTACCCTCTGCTTGGTGCATCTTGCTTTAGTCTTCAGTAATATTCGCCTGTTTCCCCCTAGTTTTTCTTTTTGTTTTAAAGTCTGCAGTGGATGTGACCTTTCCTTGTGCCCTGGCCTTGCATGGAGGCTTGAGGGCCAACTTTAAAATGTCATCAGACACTTTCTAGATCAAGTTTTATCAAAAGCAGATTTTGGCAACTGTATGTGCACCCATTAGTTTTGCAGACTACTTTGAAATTAACATTGACCCTTTCAAAGGCAAGTAGTCTACAGTGTATATTGCTTGTGAAGTTAAATCCCAGCCTGTTTGATCGTCTTGCTAGAACAGCCAGGCAAGACATGAAAAACTTGGATGGGGAATGCAGATCCACAGGAGAGTCAGCTGTCTGGTCAGAGCTGAAAATGAAACCGATCCAGAACCCAAGAAACTTGTGTAATGTTAAGTATCTAATATCAAAACAGTTAACATCTCATTTGGCTGCATGGCTGTGTGCTGATTTTGTGGCTTGTGGGAAGGAGTAACTCCTCATGATTCAGTACAATTCCAAACAGTCCTGTTAGCTTTGCTGTTCTTCCCAAGTTAGCTCAGCAGAGTCAGCACCCATAGCTGAGGTCTCAGCCAGCCGAGCTGCTGCTTTTCTGGAGCTGCCATTCAAAAAACAAGCTCTGAACAGTGCAGAGCTGCCTGCTTACTCTGTATGTATGAAGCCCCCCGTGGAAGTTTTCTGTGAGATCTCTTCTCTTTGACTTTGCATGTGGGTGGCAGCTGATCCTTGTCCAGGTTTCAGGCGCCTCCTATGGACATTTTTGTCATTTCTTCTGCTTGGATATCAAATTAAGAGGTGTCATGGCAACTTTTTTCAGTAAAACCCAAGGCAGGTTACAGTGGGAGTACTGCATTTCAGTCCTTGTTCTAAGAAAACTAGGACTCTATTAGGGACCATTTTAAAAATTTGTTTATAGAATGAGCTTGAATAATGGACGTAATCTATGGTAAAATAGCTTGTTCACAAATACTTAGTCCAATAGGTAACTCCTGCTTAACCAGACACTGGCAGGCTTGACCCAAAACCAGCACTTCCCATATCCTTGATTTTATGTTGTGTATAGTATCCTTGTACTAGGAACAGAATCTTACTCCCAAGACCCGTGTGGTGCAGTCCTTGGGGGAGCTCAGGTGATGCAGGATCAGTCTGGCTCCTAGCAGTCAGCGATGCCCGCTTTTGTCCTGCGTGTAGGTTCTGGATTCAGAGCAGGACCCAGCAGAGCACGTTCCGGAGGTGGAGGAGGACTTGGACCTTCTGTATGACACGCTGGATATAGAGAACCCCAGTGACAGCGGGCCGGAAATGGAGGATGATGACAGCGTCTTGAGCACTCCGAAACCAAAATTAAAGTAAGTGTGGGGTGGCTGATGCTGGGCCAGAGAAAGACCATGCACAGTGTCAGCAGAGATTAGATGTTGCTTCTAGTCCCACCCCTCCATCCTGTCTTTTTTTCCCTCTTGACCTGGTATCGGAGCCCTGGTGTGTGTTGTTACAACACGAATGACTGCTTGTGAGCTGAGGGTAGTGTGTGAAGGAGTCTAACTTCCCTTTGGTCTCGTTTCTTCCTTGTTTCCTTTGCAGATATTCTACCCCATGCTTAGATGCCAGGGCGGGCAGGCAGGAATTGTTGACAGGCAGCCAGTAGAATTAAACTATACTCAGATGTTTTGAAGAGGTGGTAGAAACAGCCCGGAAATTTGTGCTAAGGCAGAAGGAGATGTGGCTGGAAGCTGCAGAAGTAGAGTCAGGGATGGACAAGGCAAACTATGTCTTTCTGGAAAAGCTGATAAGACGCTATGTTGAAAGAGAGTCTTTGCAGAGATTAAGGAAGCAGCACTGCAGGAAACAAAGGAGCTCCTCAGGGTCCAATGGGACTGACTACAGCACACGTAGATGCATGCAAGCTGGTTCTGAACTGGCTTTTGTGGGCACTGACGTATGGGCGGTCCCAGCAGTGTGGAGCTGAGCTGGGGATTGCTGGCTCAGGGTCTCAAGCAGGTGCTGAACCCTGAGTTAAGAGAGCTGTGTCATGTCCCTGCCTGAATAAAGACTGAAAACATGAAACTGTTGGAGCTGCACTCATACTTCTGCCTGGCGTGTAGTTCCATGCTCAGGCCTTCAGTGTTGTGACGGCTCTCAAACAAGCAAAGCCTACTGCTGCAGTTGGTCAGTACAGTGGCTGTTAAATGCCAGCTGATTACCAGATATCATAATATCTCAATAATGCAGAATAACCTAGTTGGTCTAAGAATAGATTCTGAGTCTGGAGTGACTTGTTCCCTATTGGCCAGCTAGAGGATATCAAGGATAGACTAGGGCAGCAGTGGTAAGTGATAGGGCTGGTGCCTTATAAAGGCATTTGGAGCTTGACTGAATATATTGCCAGTTGGTAGGTCCTACTTTGAAGGGATTTGGAAATAGATGTGTTGTGGTAAGCAGCTGCTTTGAAACAAGCCAAAATGTTGTACTGTGCGCACTGAGAGCTCATGTCCTGTTCCCTAGAGGTGAGGAGCTAACTGGGGGTTGTGAGTTTGCTGGAATGAGAATTTGTGTCCATTTGGTTCTGGGTAGACACTTTGTGGCTTGCCGTTTCCAGTTCTTGTGTTCATATCTTGAAAGGGATGTGATAAATGCTGATGCTTGGAGGCAGGTTTTTCATGCACAAAATATCAGTTCCTTAAATTGTAATTGAGTCTTGTAGCCTGATGTGATGAGCTGTCCTTTTTACCTGGAAGTGCAATCTCATTGTATGCACTGCCTTATCTAATGGAGCAAACGTGTAATTGGAAACTAGGGCTGGCAGCCAAATCCAGTGCAAGCTGGAAATAAAATCCGTATTAGTACTAAGAGTCACTTACCTGCAGGAGCAGAGTATTGGTGGGGGGCAGTAACTCTACTTGCCATGTTTCAGTCAAGATTTGGACCCTGACTGGGTTGGCATATAGTTCAACCAGCATTTGCAAAGCTGAAACAAGAATTGCAGTCTGAAACTTTGCACCTGGTGCATGGAGTAGTGAGGACACAACTGCTTGTGTGGGGTGAACATGCGTTCTGTTCTGCTGTGAGAAAATGCTGGACCCACATGCCCATCCTGGATTTTATGGAAACAAAAGCTGCTGTTTGGTGTGTAGTGTGAGAGCATGCAAGTGTTCCTAGTAAGAGCTTTACCAGTATGGTCTGCTGTGTGACAGGTGACATATTGGATCTGTTAGATGGAGGTTGGTCAGTCAGTGTCAGGGCTAGACAGGGATCTATGAACTTTCTGGCTTCCCTTGCTGTCCTGGAGACTTCCTACTCCTTTCAAAAGTAGCCTGTAAATTTTACTGGAACCATTGGGGAGCAGTAGGACATCCTGGGAACAGTCATGTTGCTTTGCTGTGAATGTGGTGGGCTTTCTCTGTTAGTGTTTTTGATAATAAGAAACTGGTTTTGCTTTCTTTATTTAGACCTTATTTTGAAGGGCTATCACACTCCAGCTCTCAGACAGAAATTGGTAGCATCCACAGCATCAAGAGCCAGAGAGAGCCATCAAGTCCTGTAAGTCATGTTTCAAGAAGATACTCTATCTGCAGGTAATATAGCAGACCTACATCATCTCTGTTCGCATGTGCAAGTTAAAGTACCCACTCTGACCTCCTCCAAAGTCTTGGAGATACCTTGTAAAGATAAGAATTTTCTGTTAAGAAAACATGTTTGTTGTTTTGGGGTGGTTTGTTTTTCTTTTTGGAGGCGATGTGTTTTAAAAAGAAAATATTGTATTAACTCAAGAGGACATCTTCAGGTTATGTATTGAATACTTGCTAATGATATGAATAACTCCAAATTCCCATGTACTTGAAATGACTACCAGGATGGGAGATGTTACCTGGGAGTTTTAGGGATTCCTTGGAGCTGTTTGGAGGAAGCTTTACCTTACTGTTGTTGGGATACTTTTTCACGGTGGCTGTGAGCGAATGCTGAGAGGCAGCTCGTCCCCTTTTCCATCCTCTCATGGATGGGCCTGTTAGGTGCCTAGAATATCAGTCCTATTCCAGGGCACTTCCTTGCCTCTAGTGTGTATGTGTATCAGCTACTGCTTTGCCACATGCCACACTAATGCATTCGGTCCCGGTGTGACCAGGAAGCACTTCTGTGCTGTGCAATGTTTAAATGGAAAAGTGTGTCTTTGAACAGCTTGATCCAGAGAGTGTGGCTGAAAACTGTGCTTGTGCCATACCTCCTAATGATTTTTCTCCTCTCAAGCAGGTAGAAGTGCCTGAAAAGACAAAGAGTCTTGGAACCAAGCATGCAGGCGACAGTATTTCTGACACTGTCTCTTATGTAAGTTGAAAACGCACTTGTTAGCATTCTTCCTGGCAGCTTGAGTGTCAACTGTGAACTGCATTCTGTGGCACATGTCTGTCTGTCCATATAGTTGCACATGCAGCACAACTTAACGTAGGTAACATAAGCTGCAGTGAAGATAATGCTGAGCTCTCCTCCTGGCCTTATTTGTTGGAAGTTCTTGTCATTCAGCCTTTTGAAACTGAAACGCTTTACGTGGCCTTCCATTTAAACAGCCTTCTCTTGGTTTGAGGAAGGCTGGCCCATGTGTATCATCCTGCAAAGTGTTCTCAGGGCTGTTCCATTTTATCGAACTCAAGTATTACTTCAAGCTGAATTGACAGAAATCAAGCTGATCCTGGTGTAAAAATCCTAGGCTCAAGTTGCTCTACTGGGGACATGCAGTTTGTAACATTTCTCCCATGTCTTTCTCTTTCCGCTAGTTCATTTGGGTACCCTGTATTAATTTGTGTTGCATGAGGAGGTGTGTCCCTGGTCAGCATAGCTGAGCAGCTTTCCTACCTCCAGCTCCCTTCTGAGGCAGAGCTGGATCTGGTAGCCTCAGACAGCCCATATTGGCTTCTCCCTTTTGGCAGTGAGTAGCATGTCTGGAAGAGGCAGGCTGAATGTGCCCCAGACAGAGCTAACCTGGGGTGCCCCCTGCCAGCCCTTGTGGTAGTGAGACAGAGAGAAAGGTTTGTTCCTGATGACTCAGTTCCCTGTGTTTTTGCAGGAGTCTAACCAGCAAGCCGAGGTCCAGGAAGCTGAACTTCCCACACCAGATGTGTTTGTTGAGAAGCTCCCACCCAGCGGGAAGATCACTAAGACCGAGTCCCTCATTATCCCATCCACCAGGTAGAGTGGTGACACAGCGTTGTGCTGGCTGCAGGGCTGCTCAGGAAGTCACGGACAGCTTGCTAGTCAGGATGGCCTTAAGCCGTTGACTACAAGGAGACCCTCCTTATGTTCAGGCACTGAAGTGGTGAGTCTTGAGCACTTGATAAATGAATGCTGAGAACCCTGAAGGGCAGCATTGCTCTGAGGTTGCTCCTGTTTCCTGTGTTATAGCCGCTTCGTGTCCAAGGAAGTTTTTATAAAACTCTTGAGCTGCTTGCTCAAGCACGCGTTGTCTGATGCAGATTTCGGCCTTAGAGGTAGTTGTCAAGTCAAACTTACATCCTGTTAGACCTTCAAAATAGGGTAATGAATGAAGGCTTCAGAAACCTTAACTTATAGTTTCTCTGGTCATTTGCAAGCAAATAGATATTCTTTTGAAAAGGTGTTTCTTTTGGGTGCCGCTTTTGGGCGTGTGACTGCAGTTTGCGTAGCTGGATCCTATTATGCTGGTGTAGCAATAGCCGGGTGGTGGTATGGGTCTTAGCATGGGCTGTGGAAGTCTGCCTGGCACTCCTGGAAACATGCTCTGTAGCTGAACTGTGTGCTCGGCGCTATCAGAAGCAGAATCAGCAGGTCTCAGCCTAGCTCAGATCTATGTACATGATTCCCCAATGCCTCTGCTCACATTGCTGAGGTTACCAGACTGGGTGATCTGGGATTTGGGGGGTGTATCTCACCCAGATACGAGCCAGCTCTAGAATCAAGCACATCTCTGTAGCAGGTCTGAAGGGAAGCAGACGGGACGTCGGGGAAGGAGCACATCTCTGAAGGAGAGGCAGCCAGTGAGACCGCAGAACGAGAGAGCGAACAGTCTGGACAATGAACGCTCTCCAGACACCCGGCACCACTTACAGGTGTGAAAAAGATTGCTGTCTCTCTAGCTACTCATGGTTTTTTCTCTTCTCCAGCTGTCTCCTGTGGTCCCTTTGCTTCTGGTCCAAGCATCATCCATGCTGGAAAGGAACTGGGCCCTGCAGCTTCAGGAAGGAGGCAATCTATGTCTTGGCTGACCCTGTATCTTCCATCTAGTCTGCTGGGTTTTGCCAGCTCGTTGCTTTGTCAGCCCGCCATAAACTGAAAACACTGGAACAGATTGTTATGATGAGAAATAAATAGGGATATGTTGAGGCATTACTCTTCTGAAATGAGGCAAATTGCTAGAGATTGTAAAAGGGGACTGGCTTGTGCAGAGCATTTGTGCCATGCTTTTTTAGCAGCAGGACTCAGTTCCATCCTTGAAGGGGATTGTTCCTGGCTTCTGTGAAGTCAAAATTCCTTGGGCTACTGTTATGTGGTATAATGTGATGGAACTAAAACTGCATGACAGAAGAAGTAATGGCCAACAAAACCAAGGTGGCTAACAGAGGAGCCTGCAGGATCCTGCAGTATTGAAGAAGCTGATAAGTGTCGGTCCCAGCAGCCATGTGGCTGCTATAGCATGCCTTTGCTGATGGGGTGGCTGAGCACTGGCCAGCCATGCACAGCTGCCTCATGAATAGTGAGCACTGGAGTCGTGGCTTGACAGTTAGAGCTGACGTCTCTTCTCTTCTCTGTGTCTTTATTTGCAGATCCCCAGGAAAACGGTGTATGACCAACTAAATCACATCCTGGTTTCTGATGACCAGCTGCCAGAAAACATTATTCTTGTCAATACTTCTGACTGGCAAGGCCAGGTAAAGGCAGGAGACGTTTCCTGAAGCACAGTTCTCCTTCACTGTTCCTCCTCAGGAATAGACAGGCCTTGAGCTCTACCACTAACCAAGTAGGTTCTGCTGCTTGGTTGGGAGAGCAGTGGTGGTGCATGGGGGCTGGCAATATACTGAGTGTTCAGTGCCTACGGATTGGATTTTGTTTGCGCAGGAGATGCTGTGGATCTTCTAAAGCTTTGCTGCCTGAGTCTTTCGACAGAGGTTTTTTTCTCTTCTACAAAATGCCATTCCTTCTGGTTAGCAGTGCACTGGGAATGGCACCTTTGCACCTTGCACTCAAGAGCCTACTTCTCAACTGTGATACAAAGGAGGCAGAGAGAACTGACCTGTGGTTTAGGCAGAGGTTTCTAGGCATGGGTGGTGAACACAGGAGAAAATATTTCAGGTCAGCTCTGTCACCTTGCATGCCCGCTTGTGATTCCTGGCTGCAGGTATGTCACCCCATCTTTTCTAAGTGATTAATAGTTGTTAAAGAGAACCCTGAGCAGTGCTTTCTTATGCTGGCAACACAGGGTAATTTGTTATGTATTTGGAACAAATTTTGATCCTTTTGGAGCCTTAGTCTGAGAAAGCAATAAGATAGATATATGGAAGAGGACTAATAAACTTGTGCAGGGTGACTGTCTCCTGTAGGACTTGTGCCAGGCTGGTATAATTACATTGTCTGGTTTGGCTTCCTGATTCTGGAAGAACTAGGGTCTCAACGTCTGAGAAAGCAAAAATACCAACTGAGCTACTGGTTCCAGTTTCTCTGTACTTGGAAGATAGAGAGATGCCTTCTAGACCTGGACAGAAAACATTGTAGGTCATCTTCCAGTAATTTTAGCAGCTTGTGCCTGCAGTATCAGAGGACATGAAGATCGCATTGGCTGGGGTGCTTAGATTAGTGGTGCAGAATTTGAAAGTGTGAGATAATTGCTGAGTCTCATTGATATTCTGTCCGTGTATCACCGAGGTGTGTGTTAACTTGTTTGCCATTAGCTGCATGGAGGAGAAACAGTCCCTTGTGAGGAACATATGTGTTGGTAGCACCCTTCCGTTTTTCAGTGCTTGTGAGTGGGCAGAGCAATGCATTTGTTTGTCCTTTTGAAATCAGAGAGATCCAGAAGCAGGCGAGTAGACAGCATCTGCACTTACCCAGTGCTGTCTGCAAGGTGAATAGCCTTTTGCTGGTGCCCTGCTCCCTGCGGCCATAAACCCCCTGCTGTTTTAGAGTTGTCGTTGCCATGTTTTGGATGTAGTGCTAGTGTTTGTAGGTGAAATGTTTCCATTTTTCTAGAGGAACAGTTTTCTTTGGCTGATGCACAAGGACGAGGTATTTGGGAAATAGCCGTATCACTTACAAACTGGACATGGGGAGGGTGCCCACGCCTGGGTGTGAGAGTGCCTAGGAGTCTGGGGAGGCAGATTTCCTTCTTGTGACAAACTGTACCAAAAAAAGGACTATAAAATGTTCTGTTCTCTCCTCAGTACCTATCAGATGTCTTGCAAAAGCATACCTTGCCAGTGGTCTGCACATGCTCCTCAGCTGATATTCAGGCAGCTTTCAGCACTATTGTCTCCAGGATACAGAGATAGTAAGTTGTCACCCTGCTTGTGTTGTTTGTTGAGTCTTAGGTCTAAAAGCCTTGCAGCTCCTGTGCCTCAGTGCCCAGGGAGTTTTCCATCCAATAGCTGAGGAATACTTCTTCCTTTCAATACTTCTCCCCAATATACTCTCCTGAAGTCAGAGTTGTGCGACTCTTCAGCACTTGCCAGCGCTGCAAAACTGTTGCTCTTCTGCCATGAGTGTTGGGATACAAGTCTCCTTTCATCTACACCAGTGATTTTAAGAGATAGTGCTTTGGAGGCTGCCTCATAGGTCAGATCTAATAACCAGTAAAGTATGCAAAGCTAATAGGTAGATTTTGAAATAGTTCTTGCTCCCCTTCCACCAAGTAATTCCCAGATTAATTCCTCAAGGCATTCCCTAGATACCTACTGAGGGCTATGAGTACCCGTGTATGTTCTCTGACACAGCAGTTCCTTGCAATAGGTACATCCTAACCTAGATAGGTGGGTCCAGCCCTTTAGATTATCAAAATGTGTGAAAGGAGGAGCAAGGAGACCAATTAAGAAAGTACCAAACAATGCTGTGTTTTATTAATAATGTTTGAAGCTGCTGATAATCATTGTGATATTGCTTTGTGTATTGAACGAGCTCTCTTCTGCCATGGTTGTTATTAACCTTTTTTTTTCCCTACTTGTTCTGAAATAGCTGGTTGGAAGCATGATTATGAATATGTTTCCTCTTTTTCCGTCTAGCTGTAACTGCAATTCGCAGCCTCCAAACCCAATTAAAATTGCAGTGGCCGGAGCCCAGAATTACCTCAGTGCTGTGTTGAGGCTCTTTGTAGAGCAGCTGTCTCACAAAACCCCAGACTGGCTCGGCTACATGAGATTTTTGATCATCCCTCTAGGTAAATAAGGAGCAATTTTCTTCATAGAAAGGTGAACGGGTTAAATGTGATGTGTTCCCATAGGAGAAGCCCTCCTGGAAGCTGTGGCTAGGTATATGGCTGTTAAATGAGGTGAATGGTGCTGCCGTAGTACTGTGTGATGCTTGCGTTGCTGCTTTTGCGTGAGTGTTTCATCTTTGCATTCTTGATGCAAAAGTCTGCTTGTAAATCTTTTGTTTGAAGCAAGGGGTTGAGTAGTTCCTCCCCATACAGGGAGGCTCTAACGTATCTTTTTTTCATGGTACAATGAATGCATGGAATAATGTTGTGTTCTGACTACCTGGAGACTGATACAGAAAATATCTATGGAGGAGGAGGTGGGTTTGAAAATATTTTAGAGGCTCTGAAACTGCTGAGAGTTTAAATTATTCAAATTACGTGTATCCTTTGACCTTTCTTTTACATGCTATTTTCCTCAGGTTTTCCCCTCAGTTTTCCAGCACCTTATCTCTGCCCTTCCAGCAGCTCAACAAGCCTGCCTGGCTGGAAAGTTACCCAGCTTGGATTGCTTGTGTTGAGGAAAGTAGAGTGGACTGATAATAACGTTAGGGGTCTTGTAGTCAGAAACATCAGGAATGTTGTAGCAGCAAAGCCTGGGAAGCCAGGCGGTCACTGATGCTTGTGGACAGGGGTGTCTGGGCAATGTTGGTGGCATAAGACTGTGATGCCAGAAGGTGGTCTAGTCCAGGGCTTGGCTTCTGTTAACAGGGCATTTAGGTGATGTAGGCAACAAAAAATTTGAAGTGCTTTTTCTTGGTATTTTCTGGTCTTCTAGGTTTGGACCAGCTGATAGCAGTTGCCGTAGGAGTCAGAAGCTGCTGCCCAGCACCACAAAAGGTGGGGTTAGGCTGTCAATTCAGTGATGGGATTTGCAGAAGTCAAAGGAAAAAAGCAGAGAAAGAGAGCTGGATCCTTCTGTAAGGAAGACATTTAGTTTCCAAAGTGGTTGGCAGGAAGAGAAGAGCGAGCCCTTTAAGGGGGTTAAAAACAAAAAAATTATTTCTACAAGGTTAAATGTACCTTGAATGAGAGTCTGTGTGACTGAGGACTTTGGTCCTCACATGCTGACTGTCTCCTGGCCTCAGAAGAGTTTTCTGTCCTGAAGTCTGTAATGATCTGAAAATGTTCTCTCATTGGAAGTGAAATGCAAGATTTTGCTAGTGTGTTTTTAGGGTTTTTTTAATCTTAAAACTTTCTTTGGTAATTAAAAACAAACAAACGCGCTTTGATAATGGAACCGGTCAGAACTGTGAATGCTTTTAAAGGTACTTTAAATATAGAAACTTCTCTAACAGGGCCTTTCCATAAAAGTCTGCAATATTTCTTGATCAGATCAAGTCCTTATTTTTGGCCAGCTTTCTGGCAGTTCATTAAAGTGATTGAGGAGCAAACTCTCTTTTCTGACAATTGAAAAAGCACCAAAGACAGAATGGTGACCATGCTATAGGCATCTTAAAGGAAAAGACTTTCTGCTCTTAGCAGCACCTTTGAAGTAGGAATGGTGGAGTTTTTTCTGAGATGTTTTTACCTTCTTAATCCACAACTACACGCTGCAATGATAGCTTCACTCAGAGGGTGGTGAGGCACTGGAACAGGTTGCCCAGAGAAGTTGTGGATGCCCCATCCCTCGAAGTGTTCAAGGCCAGGTGGACGAGGCTTTAAGCAACTTGGTCTAGTGGAAAGTGGCTCTGCCCATGGCAGGAGAGTTGGAACTAGATGATATTTGAGGTCCCTTCCAACCCAAACCGTTCTATGAGGAGTCAACCTACAGTAGTTTGTTAAAGAGAAATGCTTAGTGTCTGTAGGCACCCATACTGGGAGATTCAGTCCTGCTTCATGCTTCTGATTCTATGGCTGAAAGACTCCTTTGATGTCCACAACAGTGTATAAACAACTGAAAAGGGGCAAATAAAATAGAATAAAAGATTGGGGATTATTTTTGCAGTTTCATTTTTTTTAGCATTTTATTTTGCTCCCATGGATAGAACTACTTGGGAGACGTCGTATTTAGTACTTGTTTCCAACTGCAGCTGCCATGTGCCATGTGTTTTCCCTGCATGTGGGAAAGCTGCTCCAGTGCATGATGCAGAGCTGTTCCACATACACTGTTCAAAACTCCACTGCAAAAGAAATTATGGGTCTGAAAGTAGCTGTGCAATGAGAAGCTCCATGATCAGGAGGGTCCAGGAAAGGACTTAGGCCTCAGTCTCTAATGACGCCGAGAGGAGTTCAAAGAGACTTTCTGCTTGAACCTTTCCTGGAAGTCTGGAAATTAGTACTGATTTGGAGGACTGAGAAAAAACAGTGGTTTTTTTCCACTATCAGCCTTACTGGACGATGGTGAGTATAGTTAAGCAACTGGAGTCTTCTTGGAAAGAATTGTCAGGTTACCAATTACCAGCTGATGACTCAGCTGTTGCAGTCTCGAAGTGTGGCTTGGTGTGAGAAGTTGATATGCAGGAAGGATAAAAATAAGCTGATTAGGAGAAACTCTGATGCCACTTCATGAGTGGTTGTAAATGTGCAGGACTCATGCTGAGCATGACTGAAATGTGGTGACTGGAAAGTGCAACCCTGGCACACCTTTTCTCCTGTGTTGAAAGGCTGGAGAGATAGTTGCCAAGAGTGGGTTGTGTGGTTTGGGGACACGTGGCCTACGATGAAGGTGGCAAATTTTTGCCATTTCCCAGAGCAGAGTTTGTCACTTAAATGCTTTCCTTCTCCTGCTCAGTATAAGTATGAAGTCAGATCTCCAGACAGGGCTGTAAGCTGGAGGCTGGACACACAAACTTTCTGCAAGGAGGTCTTTCCATGCTTATAGAAGAGCCATAAGGCTTAGCTAGAGCCAGCAGGGACCTGATGCATATGCCAATGTTCACCAGGGACTGTAATCATTGAACTCTGCCTTCTGTCTTTAATTGCTGCCTATTTATTGAACTTACAGCCCTTCTCCACTGATTAAACAAGCCTCTCTGGATTGTTTTTCCTGGCTGGGGACAATTGCCTCTTCTCAGTATTGCAAAACAGCCGCAGGGTGTGAATGGTGTTTGGAGGAAGGGGTCTGACTCCTCTTGGCAGAGGTGACCTGGCTGTGGTGCGTGCGGTGCAGCCTGTGGGTAGGAAGGGCTGCTGAAAAGGCCACTTTCAAAACTGAGAGTCTGAGATGGAGAGCCACAGGGCCTCTGCATCTTCCAAATCATTTATTTCCTCAGCAGTTTCCCAGTCCTGTTTTCTTTGCCCTTTTAAAATTTAATTTGGCGGGGGGAAGGAGGAGGTGTCACTGAAAGATACCAGTGGTGTTGAAGCAGTCTCTCTGCTGGGAAGCCTGTTTGCATAATCCTGTAGAGATAAGCTGGACTAAATTATTTGGTTACAATTGAAGAAATTTATTTCTGGGGTGTCTAGTGTAGTTTTGGTTTTGGAATTTAATTCCTTACAGATAAAAAAACACACTTGTGTTCAGTGTGGGGAAGAACAACTGTCATGTTTTCCTTTCTTTCTTAGGCTCTCATCCAGTGGCCAAGTATCTGGGGTCTGTAGATTATAGATACAACAACTTCTTCCAAGATCTAGCCTGGAGAGATCTGTTCAACAAACTTGAAGCACAGACCACTGGTAAGACCATGTGTCTGTGTCTGGCCTGTGTGGGATAAAAGGCTTGAATGAGTAATTTTAGCAAAGGTCAAGTAAATACAAGAGGAAGCAGACAAATGTTTTGTTCCTCTTTTCTCCTCACTCCACCACATTCCCTTTTCAGATGCTGACCTTTGTATGTCCTCCACATGGTGGTTTGCAAACAGTTGTTGGCTCCCAGAGGCACTAGCTGCCTGAGTCACACTGGTTTTACCTCGCTCTCAGCTTTGTTCTTTGGTGTGGAGATCTCACTACCAAGTTTAGCATGTCGCTTGCTTTGGCCTTTCAGAAACTGTCCAGCCTAAAAGATTTGGAAAACTGGAAAGTGTGGGAAGATTAACTTCTATTAGTTGTGTGTAAGAATGACCTTGACGTTTCTGAAGCCTGCTGGCAGGATCTTCTCATTAAGAGACATACCTCCCTGGAGGTGTTCAAGGCCAAGTTGGACAGAGCCTTGAGTAGCCTGATCTAGTTGAGAGGCATCCCTGCCCTTGACAGGGAGGTTGGATTAGATGATCTCTAAGGTCCCTTCCAGCCTATGCCATTCTATGAAGACTTGAGACTTGACTGAGGAGTGATGCTCTCATGGCAGCGTATCCTATACAGACATTTCACTAGAACTAAAAAGTTTCAGAGTTTTTGGAGTGCCACGAGGGTGGGGAGGTTGCAATGTAGTTCTCCTGTGGGAATTGCAGAGTGCTTGAGTCTCCCAGGATGCTCCTGGAAGTCCTCTAGCCATGAGAGGAGGAGACAACAGACCTCTTCGCAGGTAATTGTTCAGAGCCTTTTCCAGCAGATGGGAAGGAACTTGGCTGGACAAGGCCCTGGGCAGCCTGTTCTGAAGGTGAAGTTAACACTGCTTGGAGCAGGAGGCTGGACTAGAGATCTCCTAGTGTGCCACTCAGTCTGTCCTTTTCCGTGATTCTAAGCTCGTGGAAGAACAGATGTCTGGAACGGTTTCTCCGAATTCTGTGCTGCACTTGAAAATGCAGACAAATGTCAATACAGACTTGATTTTTGTGTCTGAGTTAGGAACAGTTCATTAGCTATAGAAACCTAGCTCAAGAGCTATACATGTTCTTTAGTTGGTTGTGTGCTGCAGCCCTTATTTATTTGCCTGCATGCTATGAGGAAAGAGCAGCCTCATTTTGCGCAGTCCAGACCTTGTAGATCCTCTGTTTTCATCTGTGCAATGAGAACTGCACAGAAACCCATGCTGGAGTAAGATCTGATAAAGAATCATAGCTTTTCATAGTTCACTGTTCAAATACAAAGAGTCTGGGTTAAAATGCCCGTTAAGGTATGGAATTGCCTGGTGAAGGTCATTTGCATTCCCTTCATCTCACAGTTGAGGCTCTTTGCTTGAAACCAAAGAACTGTGGAAGACATTTAGGAAATGTCTTCCTGTCAACTTGAATCAAACACAGTCTCACAGATCTGAAGCATGTTTGCTGCTACACACATGATCTTTGTGCTCTTCCTACCCTTGTGTGGCTCTCAGTCTTTTCAGTTAACTCAGCCAGGCCGGGAGTTCGTTAGGAAATCAGGTAACTCAAATGGTGGTGTCAGCAGAGCATCTCGCCAAGGCCCTGAGAGAGGTGACTAGGCACTCTTTTCAGCAGGTACCCGCAGTCAAGGTGCGAAAAAGTCTAAAGCTGACTCTGGGCAGGTACACATTTTCAAATAAAAGCATTTTAACAAATATAAAATAACGACAGTATTTCAGTCACTGATGCTGTGTACAGATGCCTGTGTATCTAGTGTGCCTTCCTAATGGTTTTGCCTTGGCGCTCTTGTAGGATGTTTGCTTTTGGTCAGACAGCTTTACAGCGCTCTGGGGTGGTAGGCTGCCGAGCTTCCTTTGGAAGCTGCAGTTTAAATGCAGCTGGCTGGGTACCATCAGCTGCTTGGCTGAGCAGATGCAGGACAGTGCTGGTCATGGTCTGGGAACTCACTTGAATTATTTTCTCTTTGTTCTGTTGCAGTTCCAGAAACACCTGATGTTGTCTCCCGGATAACACAGTATATAGCAGGGGCAAACTGTGCACACCAGTTGCCCATTGCTGAAGCAATGCTGACATACAAGCAGAAAAGGTATGTCACTAACCTAACACTGACTTTCCAGAGCAAGCACCAGGTTGAAAGCAAAGTGCTTTTCTCATCTTGTGTGCCAGCAGTCTTAAAATCACTCCAAATTGCCGACACCCTGGGAGCCTTACAGTAACCTGCACCCAGTGATGTGTCCCACTTAAACAGTGGTGAATCTGCAACAGTGTGATTACTTTAAGTGCAGTGATTTCTTTGAAGACCTGAGAGGTTTGGGGAAGTGAGACTAGGCAGGATGGGGGATTAACAGATTATATCTGCTTAGGTTTCAGACATCTGTTACCACAGAGACCTTACATGTGCAAGACTGGACTGTGACATTCCACCCCAAAGTGTCTTCCATGAGACCTGGCATTTTTTACATTGATATTGAGGGAACCGAAACCCTTTCCTTTTCAAGTGTAACTAACAGAGCTTCTTGCAGGAGACCAAAATCCCTGTTGATTGGCATTTGCAGACTACCAGGACTCCTACTGTGGAGGGCAGACAGGTTCAGGTTTTCAGGTTTCATTTCACCTTATCATTCACCAGGTTTCATTTCAACTTATCTTAAAGGATAAGCAGCCTGTAGGAGGGAGGATTGGAGTCTGAAAACAAGACTCAGAAGTACGTAGAGCCTCACGTGGCCATGGTCCAGGAAGAAGACTAACTGTCACTGAAGGGTAGAGATGCGTTATTTCTGGGACACAGAGGAGAATAGACTCCAGCTCACATCCCAGTAATTTCTAAGAGCAGGACAAACACTCAGCTTGTGATTTTTCTCGATTAGGGACTAGCAATCTCCTATAAGGCATGGGTGATGTTAATTATTACCCTTTCCGTGTTATATCTGATCTTTCGTTTTTGGTCCATTAACATCCCTCATTGGTGCCTCCTTTGCGTAAGAACTGGGAGGGGTTAAAGGTATGGGTAGAGCCACTTTTTTCCCCTCTTCTTGGAAATGCTAATTGTATATTGCTTTTCCATTCCTGTGTCTGCTCCACATTACTTTGCAGAAATGATTCAGTAAAATTTAGCCCATTCTTCATGCTCTCCTAGGGAAAATATTTCTAGACTGACTAGTCCATTAAAAGGCGTGCACTCTCTTTATGTACTTGTGAACTTCTGTAATGTTATCCTGATAAAGGTGAAACCTGGGGAGCCACATGGTACTCAAAGCTCTTAGCTTTTAAATCTTTTATTTCGTTTTTGGTGTGAAGACTTACCTTAGTTACCAGTAGGGAGTTCAGACACCCCTAGTGCAGTGTGAACCCCTTCTGATGGCTGCCTCTTTCTCTGCACCCTTCAGTTGCTGGGTCCTGCACTGGTTTCCATTGCCTTCTCCATTCTGCTGCAGATTCATTTTTGTCATTAACACACATTTAATAATTTTGAGTTTCTAGTGCCCAGAAGAGTCAATTTGGTACTTTGTTGAAAAGCATCTGAAATGTACTTCAGCAGCACACGCACTTAGCCCTCCTAGCAGAGTGCATGACCCCTTTACCAAGCTGGTCTGATCCATTTGGGTTTTAGACCTTTTGGAGTTGGTGATGCTATACCTGAAGCTATTGACAGGTTTAAATCAGGCTCAAATCCTGCAGGAGGTTACTTGGATGAGAGATTGCTGAGACTTTTAGTCACACTCGTGGCATAGCCTGCAGTCTCTTAGTATGTCTGTTGTGTCTGCTTTAAAATAACTTCTACTTTCAGCTAAATACCCCATGAACAAATTGGAGAGTGAGTTAGAGGAACAAGCTCTCCCATGGAGTGATGGGCAATTATCTCCCCGTGTGGCTTTCTTTAGAAATGCAGCTTTCTGTCATTGGCAGCAACGTAGGGTATTGTGAAAAGCTGCACAGAAATTGTGTTTCCATTAGCACTGTCTAAATGAATGCATCGCTTTGTTGTAAGTATAATAACATATTTGTCTTTTTCTTTGGTTGCTTTCTGAAAAGGAAAAAGAGCTTTCATTTTGATTTTACCATAAGGTATCAGTTCCTTTAGGTTCCCTCTCCCATCTCCTGTCTCTTTTCCCCCATGAACTGGTGTTTTGTGCTTTAACAGTTCCCGCAGGTCTGGGATGCACAGTTTGTGCTTTAGATTAAATTCCGCTCGCTGCTTCAAAACTATGGCATCTGCTGGCAGAATGCGTTGTTGAAAATGACTGCTCTGCCTTTGGACCACACATATGGGTTTTCAGGATGTAGACCGAATGGGAATGGAGGTGTTATTGAGACAGTAGCTTTGAGCAGTAAAACATGGAGAAAGTAGGTTTTTTTTCTTCCCTTTTTGCTGGCCATCAGAGGATAATAGTGTAGCTCCCAAAGAATCAGGACTGAGCACAGGCTTTTCCGTTCCCATCTGTTGGAACTGCAGTGCTGTAAGTGGCACTCACTGGCTCAGGGTGGGGTTCAGCTGTACAGTGTTCAAGCGCAGACCAGCAAATCTTCTCCCTGTAATCAAAAAATAGAGGACTAGTCTCTTACTGGTAGGTTATCCCAACACATGGACTTCTATGAGCTTAAGAAAGAGGAGACAGATAGATACTAGCAGTGGAGTTGTGCTCTCTGAGCTGTGTCCAAGACCTCCTTGCTCTGCAGAGTCCCCTGCTTCAATTCATACGATTATTGGACATTTTTTATTTTGACCTCAGTTCACAAAGTTACTGCAACTCCCTCTCCCTTGAGGCCAGAGGTGAATGGCTTCTCCCAGGCCGACTTTCAAGGCAGCGGTCCGTGTAGAAACAGCAGCACTACCTCTACCTACAAATTTGTTGCAAGACAAATCTCCCAGTACCCCAACATTTGCTCTGTTAAACAAGCCCCAGTGGTCCAAGGAAAGCCAAGCCAGTCTTTAGGACGTAGCTGTATGTGATGAGCTGCTTTATAACTTTATTGCCAGCTATCCCTATTTTGACTTACCTCCGCTCTCCTTCCTGTCCCCTTGTTCATGTTTGTCATGGCGAAAGGTTGGCGCATGTGTTGCCTGTGATGGACTGCAATGGTGCAAAAGCTGTGTCCCATTCTTTTGGAGCATCTGCTGACCTTACCTGAAATCAAGGGGGCTGGCAATGAGAAAGGGATTCAAGAAGGAAGTGAATTGCTATTTCAGCTCTTCTGCGTTACACTGGGTGACTGACTTTTGTTTGTGAACACTGAGAGAATTGCTGGTTAATGAGTTGTCAAGAAACACTGCAGTCCAAGCAGTATCTGGGGAGCTGAGACCCTGGTGGCAGAGGTGAGCCTCTCACTAGGAGAGGTGTATCATCAACACTGATATCTCTCTGCATTGCTTTCTTGAATGAAGCCCTGTGGTATTTGAGGTCTGGGACTCGACAGACACTTGTTCCCAGGGTAGCTGGATTGCTGATCAGTTCCATGAACCTGGGCTGGTGTCACCCACTGTAATTGTGTCTAGCACCACTCATGCCATGTGGCTTCTGGATAGCCCTTGCACGAACCTGGGGAGCATCTTGGCTGTTGGAAATAAAAACACTGCTCGGCTGTCAGGGAAGGGGCTGGATCATTTCCTACCTGGTTACACACCGAAAGCTCTTCACTCTTGTGTATTGTAGAGCACTTCCCCAACTCTTGCTCCCTGGAGCGCAAGTGCCTTGGGTTGGAGGGTTCCTGGGCAATAGGAAGCAGGAATAACACTGTTTTCTGCCTTCTGCGTGTCTCGAAGGCTCTGCAGGGCAGTGGCTAGGCGGAGTCCAGGTCATTTCTCCGAGTACTGCTTTTAAAACACATGCTGCAGCGGTTGCTGAACATGAACACAGCTGGTGAATATGGACCCGGTCCCTTCTCTGGTTCAGCGGCAGTGCCCATGTCATCTGACTGGTTCCTGCATGAACCTACTTGGGCAGCTGGTGGAAATGTAATGAGAGTTTATTTGTGCCCCTTGCCTGGCAGAGCAGTGCAGCAGAGGAGAGTCAAGGCTCAAGAAATGCTGGATGTCCTGTTGAGTATGTCCAGCCCGCTGTAGGAACATGGAGAGTGCTGGACAGGAGTTTCATGGGGAAGCAGAAAGGTGACTTATCTGGTGTGTGGTGGGGACTTGGAGTTGCTTTGTCTCTTTGTTTGGTTTGACCACTGGAAATTTGGTGGAACAGGGACGGTGTTAGCCAGCAGACAGCTACAGTTGCCCAGTGGGAAGGCAGGTGATTCATAGCAAAGATGAACCTTGGAGAGTTGTTGTTAGTGCCTGGCTGGAAATGTTTTAGAGGCCTGCTAGTCCTTCAGTGCTAAGTCTCCTCTTCCCTTTTGCCCCCCCTGCAGGACTTGCCTGGAATAAAGGTAGTACCTGAGACCCTCCTGCTAGGAAGTCACGGGTGTTTGGCTTCCTTTGAATCTGTTTTGGGTTGCTTAAATTTTAAATGAAGTCTTACTAAAAGGCTGGTAACTGGCATAACTGCTCTCAGTGATTATTCAGTCCCTCTTACTGAATATCTGAGTGCTTTGCAGCTTAGTTTGTACTTTGCCCCAGAAGTGAGAGAGATTATTCCTTTTGTCAGGTGGGTGACTCCTGGTGATGTGGCTGCTTCTCCTTTCTAAGAGTCCTAAAACATACAAAGACACATAGCCAGATTAATTTTATCTGAATTCATTCCTTGAGATAGGGAGAGAGCCTGCAAGTCTATTTCTGGACAGTTTACCTTTGAAGGACTGGTTGCAGGTGGATAGATTTTGCCCAAACGAAAGTAGTAATTAGACAACTCTCCATTCCAGATAAAGATGTTCTTTCTAGCCTCTCTGCACAGGCCTGGTTTTTGTTTTCCCCCAGAATTTGGTGAAACTTTTTTTCCCCAGAATTACGGAGGTAAAGTATCAATAACACTGTTAAAACATCACAGACCAGGGTCAGCTTTGGCTTTAAATTATAGCTGAGACACAAAGGCCTTCAGAAGCCCTGAGGATAAAACCAGTACCCTGGGCATCACTCTAGGGAATAAAACCTCTGCAGCCTGGGAATCTGTGCAGCCTAGGTAATGAGGGGGAGCTGCCTTTCCAGGGACAGGGGATATTTTAGTTGCAGGGCAGTGGTAGGAGAGATAGAAGAGACCACTACCAAGGTGAAAGGATTCTGAATTCATATTTTGGGATCCCAAAGGACAAGAACCAGGAAAGAACATGAAAGAGGAAGTGGAGAACAAGCACGATCGTCTCATCTTTCCTTTCATCCACATGAAGAGCAGCTGTTTTGATAAGCTGCGTTTTCAGAGGCACATGTGCAAGATCAGAATTCCCAAGAGGACATGTGACAGGACTGGACTAGCTGAGCTGAAATCCAGCTGGATTGCTTCAGGAACAGTCTGGGCATCTTTGTGAGCTGTGATAAATGGTGACTCAAGCAAATGATTTATTTCAGAATTGCCCCTGAGCTCTCCTCAGTGGGAGTCTGAGCTCCCAGAGGGAACAAGAATGAGTTTTCTGCTGGAATTGGGCATGGTTTGTTTTTTCAGAGCTCAGAGCAAAGCCTTCCAGTAGCCAAGAGATGACTAGGCGACTATTGTGCTTCCCTCACTTGATCAGCGGGGCTCGCTTCTGCCTGCTTCTCAGCCCATGGAGCTGAAGAAACGAGAAGAAAGCTGAGCCTCTGTTCTGTGTTTCTCCCAACAGCTCTGTGGGTTTCTCGTTTCCCTTTGCAAAACTGAAGCTGGAAATGTCGTGTTTGTAGGAGATTTATTTGCTGGGGGCCCTGCAGCCGTGTTTGGAAAGATGTGACCTTTCCGGCTTCAACACATGATCAGGAACTTGGTCATTTTGTCGTGTGCTTTGGGAGAAGAATGAAGGTGCAGTACGTGGGGTTATGAGGTAGGAAGGGAGCAAAGCCCTGGGCCTTGCCTTAGAGATGTGTGAACAGAGCTGAGCCAAAGCAAGAGGCTGTTTGCAAAAACAAGCTGCTGCGGACCCAGAGGGACCTCTGGATGAGTTGTATTGGCTGCAGTTCTGTGCCATTCTTTCTGTAGGGCTTAAAGGAAAGTGTCCAGCCCGTGCTAATCGCGCAGTGGTTGGCAGCCTTTGTGCATTCGGTGCATTTCCGATCTGTGCTGGGAACAGCACACAAATACCTGTTTTGCTGAAGCATTTGTGCTCCACGCAGCAATATTCTGGATGAAGGCAGTGCTGGATGGTTTTTCTCTAAACGTTGCAGTGCACCAAGCACTGGGGGGATGCACAAAAAGAGAAACATGAGAAATCTCAGTGTTTGTCTGCTTCCTGCCCGTTTCCTGTGCTTGGCCACTGAGAAATGTTGTGCGTCTTGCCCGTGCAGTCACTTTCACTGCTGAACTGCAATTCCTCCAAGCACGTGGATGTGCTCCTGCAGTCCTCTCCTCGCCCTGTGAGTCTCTCTTCATCTCTTTCACCCTTGAAGGGAGCAGTGGCTCTGCAGGCCCTCCCAGCCTGCCTTCCTCCTCACTCAGGTCTTCCTCCTCTTGTCTTGAGTCTCTCCCAAATTCCTGCTAGGTTTGACTGTGGCCTTCATTGCTGGCCTTTATCTACCCTCTGGCTTCTGAATCCTGGGCAGGGCCAGAGCAGGAAGGGCTGCTGCCTTCCTGCTTTCAAAATGTGTGTAGTGTTGTCTTCAGCCGTTTCTGGGACATCCTGTGTGTTTTGTTCAGTTTGGTTTAGCTGTTTGCTGTTCTCCACTTGATGTCCTGATCTACCCGGTGTGCTCCAGTGCCTGACTTCTCTAGTGTGCCTGTCTAATGGACTGCAAGCTCCCAGTGGCAGGGAACGTGTATCTGTGTGCGTGAGCGCGTGTGTGTACGTGCTTGCTAGTACTGTACGAATAACCACGTGTCACGGCTTGTAACCCCGTGGCAGGCTAACTGCTTTAGCGATGCTGGGATATGCAAGGTATGGCACATGACTCCAAAGGTGGGACGCGTGAAGGCCATGCGTGCAGAGCGCTTCAGGTACTAGTAAGTAACGCACAGTTCTCCGTGTTGTTGTGGCACAGATCCATTTCCTTGCAGTAGGAGGTCGTGTGTCTGTGATGACTGCCATGCCATTAAAGCATGTTTCTCTGTCAAGCGTGAGGGAGGGAGGAAGAGACCTTTCCCCGAGAGATGTGCCGCAAGCTGCGTGCTCTTCCCTACCCATGCAGATTCTTAGCGTGCTGGCAGGGGGCCTTGAGAGGTGACATTGGACTGGCGCTTGCATACTGTCCGTACCTGCTGCATGCTTGAATGCAACATATAAAGTGAGTACTGTGCCTGGTGTGGAAGCAAGCTGTTAACGACTCTTTTCTCTTTGCCTTTAGCCCTGATGAAGAATCTTCGCAGAAGTTCATTCCCTTTGTCGGGGTGAGTGTTATCTTAGTTACGCTGTCTCAAGCCAGCTAGAATATGTCCACGAGTGTTAACCCCAACTTACCTAGTTTCTGCTGCAGAGCAGGAGCACTGGGTGCTCTAATGTAGGGTGTCAGCGTAGGCATCTGATGTTGGATACAACTGCCTGGTACGTAAGCAAACCTCTAAGATCCCTCAACAAACTACAGAGTGTATTTTACTTTCCGGGCAGCTCTGTGCTGCATGCCTGCCAGCACTTGAAGCAGGCACATCTTCAACGCAGAGAGGAAAGTGTGACACTGAAGTGCCCTGATCCACAGCCTGTCTTTGCTGCAGACCAAAGCATCTAGTTGGTGGAGAATTGCTGCAGGGCCACATGCAGAGGAAGGTGATGTGTTCCTGGAAACCTGATCTCAGGATTGCAGTGCCCAGCATTTCTCTGGGTGATTGATTTGGCCAAATTCGCTATTCCCGTGTCAGTCCTCTGTCTGCTTGTCATGAACGGTCTCTAGTCCTCTTAATATCCCATCCACTTCTGGGAAGTGAAGAGTGCATCCCACCAAGGAGATCATTTATGCCACTGTTAAGTTTGAGTCTGAGGCAGTAGCTATTTCATCCATTTTATTACATGAATATGCATTTGGGATAGTAGTCCCTGGCTTTTCCTCCTGTGCTTATCTTTACGTATTCTCAGCTCAGGTGGCCAAGTGCAGAGTATCTAGGCTGGGCTGTGTTGTGTGCTTCTGTCAGTGCATTTTGTGCTCTATCTACTTTGCCTTTTCTAGCTTCCCTCCCCTTATTTGTTCGTGCTCTTTAATTAATTAAGGTTTAGGTATAAAGTCATTTACCTGTGGCCAAAAGGATATTCCTTGACTGCTCTTCAGCTACTGGATTGCCCCCTTCACAGTTTGTGCTGCTCTCTTGTAGTTTCTCTCTGGTGCATGCTGGCTGTCTTCTGTCTTCTCTGTGTTAAGATGACTTGTGTGCCTTCTCATTTGTATCCCTATCAGCGCGTCAGAGCTAATCTGAAATCCCAAGGTATTTAGAGAGCTTAGTCTCTCTTGCCCTCAGGCTGACCCTGCTTTCACTCTGGTGTCTCTTCAGAGTGAGAGTCTCTCTCTGCAGTGTTCCTGAGATGATGACAATTGACTTTTTTTTTTGTTGAAGAGAAGATGTCTTCTGCAAAAGCGGAGACACACATCTTCCCGATTTGTTCCCTGCTGATGAGCTTTGCTGTGATCTTGTCCCTCCCATGAACTGCGATTGATGGTGAAGAACTGTTGTTATGAAACAGCTTTCCCAGTAACATGAAAAGCCCAGAAGGGCTTGCAAGCTCCTGGACTTATCTCACAATAGCTGCTAGGCTCTGCAGAGCTTTTCTTTGGGGCTGATTTAGTTCAGTGCTATGTGCAAGCAGATGAGGCTCAGCGTGTTTGTCCAGTTGCTCTAAAATTATTGTTTCCTGACTTTAGCAATGTGTTTCCAGCCTGGATTCGATTATCTGAAAGCAGGAAGAGTCAACAGCTCTGTTGTGTGCATAACACTTGCCAACCCACAAAAAAAACTTGCTTCGAAAGCACAGACTGACTTTCTATGTCAGCTGATGGTGTGGGTCAAATCAATGCTGCTTATTCTTGCTTCTGAAGTGTTCCTGACACAGCTGTTTCCCATGGGACACATCTGAAGAGACTCTGAAAGGCCGGTTGCAGGGGTCTCACAAAGTCCGAGGCCGAACATGAACACTGAAGCTCTTCCCCTTGGCAGTAGCCTGCTGGGAGCTCCCAAGGAAGGGAGGGAGCCAGCGATGTTTGCGTTTGCGACTCCTGAAGTTAACTTGATTCTGTTGGCTTTTTAGGGTGCAAAAGCTGATGTCCTGCAGCTGGGTTGTGCAGTCTTTGGCCCAAAAGTGAGCAGGGCTGTGCCATGCTGCTCAGCCAGGCTCTGAAGTGGGAGCAGAGCCTCACAAGGGGTCAGTCGGGCATGAAAGCCAGGGAGTCTGGTGGTGAGGCTGTGTGGTTGTGCACCTGCGTGGTGCTGACAGCCAGTTGCCGAGAGAGTTAACAGGATGCACCTCCTTCCTGAAGGGAAGGGAGGCTGGCTGCTCCAGCGCTCCTGGATGGAGGTGGCGTTGGGATTGCAGCAGTCTCAAGTGCCTCCCTGAGTGGAGGGAAGGGAAAGTAACCTTGTCTTCCTCCCATGCATCTTAACTTGAGCATCTTCAGTCACCCAGCAAGGAGGAAAAGGCCAGAAGAGATTTCCTGTCTGGTTTGCAGATCAAGATGGCTGTAGGCAGTTTTCTGTGTTGCTTGTTCTTCCCCTAACTCTTCTGCCTTGCCTCTTCTTGCTCACAGCTACAGTCTGTGAAACATTCTCTTGATGTTTAACACATACAGCACAAATGTCTGCTGGACTCCAGAGCCTAATTTGTTGCCCTTTGGATGGAGACTGGCCAAACTGAGCTGCAGCCTCCTTCTCCCAAGCTGTTGGCCCCTCAGGGAGCCTCCGCACATGCTGCCAAGTTCATGATGGCTTTTCCAAGACTGGAGCTAACAGAGAATCCACCAGAGAGCCTACCCACTCTCCAAGATCTAGTGTTGAGCATACATCCCCCCCCACTCCCAACTGTGCAAAGTTTTTTGCTTCTAGTCATTAGGTCCTTTTTTCTTGATCCTGTAGCACAGAAATGTGCTCCCTAGAGATGTGGCCTAGACATGATCATGTCTGAACTTAACGATCTTCCGTTTTCAAACTAAATGAACTGTGTGACACCGTTTCGCATTCTAAAGCAGGTGTTATTGACTTGAGATCCCTTTGCAGCTCTTGCCCATGTGTCAACATTTATCTAGGATAGGCATTAGCCCTGGATACAAATTTCTTAAGGACGTTAAGAAGGGTCTCTCCTCTGTGTTGTCAAGAGTAATGATCCCTGTGCACCGTAGCAGATTATTGCTACAGAAGGTCCCTGCTTTTATATCGCCAAGGGTCATTTTCATAGATTCATAGATTCATAGATT